CAGCTACTCTGTGACACTTCTGGAAAACTCGCCCGTTGATGCTGTTCTGTTCAAAGCTTCTGTCACTGATCTCGACCAGGTAGTCTACAGTTACAATACACATATGATTCCAAAAAAAATCCGGCAAGTGAAGCCGGTAAAAAAAAAAAAAAAACTGCATGTATATTTTCATTCACTCTCTTCATTTTCATATTCATTCCCAGGGAGGGTTTGTGGGAACAATGAGGATCATCCCAGAGTCTGCTCCTTTCTCTATCAGCTCTGATGGGACAGTCAGAGTGAAAAACTCTACAGCTCTCGACCGAGAGACCACTGAAACAATCACATTTCAGGTCATTTAGATTTAAGATAAAACAACTGTCAGTATATCCTGGGTCGTAATTCATGTTTAAAAAAAACTTGAAAACTCATTTTGAGCCATTTAGTTTTAAACAGATTAAAATAATTTTTATTTGTTTGTTTTTCAAAGAGTAACGTTTGTCCCAACTTTCATCTCAACTTTGTTCTTCGTACTAATTTTAAAGGTAGAAGCAAGAGAGCAACATGAACCCAACAATGTTGCAACAGCACAAGTTACTGTGACTCTTCTGGATGAAAACGACAACATTCCTAAATTCACCAGCGACGTGTACGAGGGAAAAGTGTTTGCAAATCAAACAGAGGGATTGTTGCTGGTCCAGGTTAGTGAGTTCTACTCAATAAGACATACGGGCCGATTCTATAACTGCATGTGTATTTTTTTTAATCACTTCAATTTACTCTTTTGCTTGCATTGCATTCAATCATACCAACTCGGAAAAATGTTTTTTTTACAACTAAAAAGGATAATCACTTTCTCATGGCATTACTAAATCATATTTTACGCATATCATCCAAAGATATCGTTTTTTGTTTTTGCTGTTATCATCTTGTGTTTTGTTTTTTCATTTCCGTGACATTTAAACTGTGATTTGTATTATGTGACTCCAAGGTTAGGGCAGAAGATCCAGATGTCGATGTAAATGGGCAGATTACATACTCTATTGACTTTGGGAACAGTAAAGGACACTTCACAATCGATGAAAACACCGGATTTATTACACTAGCTAAAACCATTCCCCTGCAGGAAAACCAGATTTTGGAGTTCCCTCTCTATGTAACAGCAAAAGATGGTAGATTTTTTTATTATTATTATTCTTATTGTTGTTGTTAATATTGTTGAGGTTGTTGTGGTTGTGGCTTGCCAGAATAGGTTATTCAATGTCAGAATCACTTATTCTGACATTCACTAAATCATAACTTACACAACTGTGATTATTTGGCATGTATGCAGCACAACTGCAGCATATGTGCACAACTTCACCGCCTGCTTTCTTAGTTGCTATGCCTAAGTGTCATGTCATAGCAATCACTCCACTTTAGCATCATAACATTGTTACCTTGCATGTGCCAAGGTTTTTAATCTCATATGACTAATTCATATTTTTCACAGAACTTCATTGCTTTCAACAAAGCATCTTACAGTCAGTTCTGTCACCTGAGTAACTTTAAGATGGAAGTAACTACTGCTACATAATCTTAAAGTAGACCAGCTGACCTCTTAATGCCTGCCATCATTAAAGTAGCATAATATTCTTCTTCATCTGTCCTCTAGGTGGCGACATACCTCGTTCCTCCTCAGCACAAGTGAATATTTTTGCTCCTGGTGATTCAAAACCTCAGTTTTTACAAAAACTTTACCATTTTATCATAGAGGAGGAGCAGGAGCCAGGAGTTGCAGTTCTTAAGGTATGTTTCCCAGTGAATTTGTGTGCAAACCAGTGTTTTTATCATCCAAATGTTCCTGTGTCAAATGCCAAGTTACATTTAGCTACTCACTGTTGTTGCTATAGTCAGTGTTGGGGAGTAACGGAATACATGTACCGCTGTTACGTATTTAAAATACAAAATATGAGTAACTGTATTCCGTTACAGTTACCGTTTAAAAAGGTGGTATTTAGAATACAGTTACTTTGTTGAAATAAATGGATTACACAGCGGTACTTTCCTGTTTCATATTGTCGCGGGTCAGGACTGTTTGGGTTTTGTTTGACAGCTATGTTCTGTTGTTCCAGGCGGCAGCGTTACGGTTGCCATGGTTACAGGGTGACGCTCTCTCTCTCTGCTTGTCCTGGGTGAGAGAGCGCCTGTTGTTGTTGTTGTGCTAAGCTAATAGGCAGAATGCTACAGGTATAGCTCTAAAGAATGTAGCATCATAGGCAGTGTAGTCCGTGCTGCAGGGAGAATGGACTGCCATACACGTTATGTGTCTGTGAGCGAGGGAGGGAGAAAAAGGAAAAGTACGAGCTGTCATCGAGCAAAAACGGGAGCTGGAAGCATGTAAATATAATAATAACCACTGCAGCCAAGAAGAGCGCCTGACGAGCCCAGTTGTAAGTAAGCTATTAAGTATCGACTGTACACCGTGTTTGTGTTTTCCTCCAAAAACAATAAGTTTGGTTGGAGCAGCCTTTCAACGCCTCTCTGTCTCTCGCTAGCAAAGTTGACCCAGACAACAAAATAAAGCTAGTTTTCGGCTACTAGCCGACACAGAACCCACCGTATTAGCCAGAGGTCCCTTTACTACGGTTCGGAGCCGCGGACCTTCAGTAACAGTAATAAATCACAGCAATAGTACATTCACGTAGTTGTAAACAGCATGATAATATATTAAGTAATCCAAAGTATTCAGAATACGTTACTCTCTTTGAGTAACGTAACGGAATACGTTACAGAATACATTTTGGGGCATGTATTCTGTATTCTGTAATGGAATACATTTTAAAAGTAACCTCCCCAACACTGGTTATAGTTAACTTTAAATGTCATAGTAGGATTTTGTCAATTCTGTATTTCTTTCAGGTTAACTTCCTTGCAATACCTCCTGCTATTCCTGAGTTTTTAGTTACAACAGAAGGTGACAAATTCAAAATCTCCAACAGTGGTGAATTCACCACCAAGGTTAAGCTTGACCATGACGAAGGCCCTCAAAACTACTCAGTAGAAATTACCATCACTGACGGAACAACCAGTGACAGCGCCGTGGTTGAGGTCCAAGTCACTGACATCAATGACAACAGTCCAGTTTTTGCCTCCAGCTCAGTCACCAAATCTGTTCTGGAGGATGCAGAGGTAGGATTCAATGTTACTGCAGTTCCAGCTACAGACAAAGACAGTGGCTTCAACAAGGAGATCAGATATTCACTGAGAGGAGGAGAAGGGAGCTTTTCTATTGATCCTGTGTCTGGGATGGTCAGTTTGGCCGGTGCACTTGACAGGGAGACCAAGGCAGAATACAGCCTGCTGGTGGTGGCTGAAGATCAGGGTCGTCCAGCCAGGTCAGCCACAGCCACTCTGACGGTACAAGTATCTGACATCAACGATAACACACCAAAGTTCTCAGCGGCTGAGTATCAGGTTGAAATCTTAGAAACAGAGTCAGTGGGTGCAAGCTTGCTCACCTTATCAGCTCTAGATCCTGATGAAAGTGTAAATGGAATAGTTACGTACAGCATTTTCCAGCAAAGCCCTTCATCAGACCCTGCTGTTTTTGATTTGGAGTCGTCCACTGGGATCCTGCGACTGGCCCAGCCTCTGGACTACAGTGAGGCAAATATGTATACCCTAAAAGTTCAGGCCACTGATGGGGGAACACCCTCTTTGATTGGGAATGGCTCAGTGGTGGTGAAGATAAAGGACGTGAATAATAACCCACCTGAGTTCAGTAAGGAAATCTATCACATACCCATCTATGAGAACCTGCCCGGTGGTGCATCCATCCTGGTGCTGGAAGTTACTGACAAGGATGAGGTGAGTTACATGACCGGGTCCAGCTATGATAGGTTTTGGTTCTTATTTGGTCTACTGTGCAAAAAGACCAAAGTGTTTTTCCACAGTTGTACTGATATATCAGTATATGCACCTGTTTTGTTCTTAATAATTACCTTTGGTTATGAAGACATCTTATTTAACATAACTACCTTCCTTTTTAGGGTGGATTCTCCAATGGCTACTTCCTTTACAACAATGACACTTTTGAGATCAATAAGCAGGGTGTCGTCTCACTGAGAAGAGATGTAGCCTTGGACAGAGAGACAAAAGACAGCTATTTGTTACAGGTAAATATACAACATATGTATGGATACTGAAAATTGTGATATTATATTGTCTTACACTATTGTTTAAAATGTAAAAGAATGGTATACAGATTATTATATAGATTATAGCTATCTCCACAGAGTTAATTTTAGTTTAATTCATATTATTATTACTGAATATTATTTAATAATAATAATAATAATAATAAATACAGGCATTCTTAGATTGCCGTGTATTAATGTATCCACACATCAAATATTTTCTGTTTTTAAAACTTAAATACTTACAACCCAATGGTGAGCCACTGAACCATTTTTGAAATGATTACATTGGGAATAGAAGAACGAGAGGCACAGAATCAGTTCAGCAATATTTTTCTCATTTTTTCATTATTCAGTCCTCTTTCCATTTTCTTTTTATGTGTAAAAATATAACTTTACTGTAGTTCATTTGTGCAATGTTAAAAAGCAAAAATAACAGTAATAATAAGTTAAAGGGAACAAATACTATATGCCCAGGCTAAATTTGATGTTTTTTGGTTAAAAAAAGTAACTTGGTGACTAGGAGCTAAAGTTAGTAGAATCCTGTGGGGGAGGTTTCAGTAACGTTCTGTGTTTTCTGTGTCTCTATTCAGGTTGTCGCAGTGGATCAGGTGACTGATGGTCTGAGTTCCACGGCTCAGCTGAATATCACAATCCTTGATTACAATGACAATTCTCCACAATTCCCAAGCATTCCTGACCCACTGATGATCATTGAAGGCGATTACTCAGTGGAAAGCCCAGGAGAAATTTTTACCATCACACCCACAGACGCAGACCTTGGGCTAAATGGAGAGGTCACCCTCTCCCTTATCTCCCCCCACCCAGTCTTTAGATTCAGAGAGGTGAGGCAAAAGGGAAAAAAACAGCTGGGAACATTTTCCAACATGCCAGAATTCCGCTTTTTGTCTATTATAGCGACAGCTTTACCTGACATGATGGTTATATATTGCCACACACATATTAATTCTGTTCATTTGTATTAGCGCAATCTGAAGTCTGAAGCTTTGGCACAAAATGAGCCTTATTTAGTATGCAGTATAAGAGGACATAAACTTCTAAAAAAAGAAAGAAAAACAAATAAAGGAACGCTTAAAACACATCAGATATCCATGGATACACCTCCACAGACAGGTATGCCGTTGGCTAGCACGTTATCCATGCTTCTCCATACCCTTTCTTGTCAGGCTCAGGGTGAACTTGCTTTCAGCAGGGTGCAAGTGGTGGACCTGCCAATTCTATGGCAAATTCTGATCAGGCTCCACAGACAGTGAATACAGGGCCCATTAGATGATGTTGGGCCCTCAGTCCACCCTAATGAAGTCTGTTTCTGATTGTTTGCTCAGAGACATTCATAGCACTGGCCTGAAGGAGGTAAATTTGTAGGACTGACAGTGCTCATCCTGTTCCTCCTTGCACAAAGGAGCAGATACTAGTCCAGCTGATGGATTAAGCCCTTCTATGGCCCTTTCCACCTATGTAGAGTAACTGCCTGTGAGCTGGAATCTCCACCATATTGCTGAGACTTTATGAGACACAGCAAACCTTCTGTCAATGACACATGTTGATGTGCCATCCTGGAGGAGCGGTAACACCTGTGCAACCTCCGTAGAGTCCAAGAATCACCTCACACTGCCATGCTACTGAGGCTACGTCCACACGTACACGGGTATTTTTGAAAACGGAGATTTTCCGTTTTCGTTTTAAAAAATAATCCCGTCCACAGTAAAGGCAGAAATGAAGGAAAACGCTGCTAGGAACATGCCAAAGCAACAGGTGGCGATATATTCCTATCCGTGTAGAAAT